CCAGTCTAACAGTAGCTATTCCCACTTGGGCTTGTTGCTGTGAATACATTTGAAATCCTCCAATAAAAACAATAGAGCTCTGACAAGATTGAGAGATAGGAAACCAGCTGTAGTCCACTCTGAGCCAGGGCCTGTCCGGGACGATAAATGGGCACACTTCTCTATTCTGCCCAACACCTGCCCACACAAGTGTTTCATAATGACAACAACACTGTTACTGTGAAAGAAAACAGGCTTTAGCTGTTTAAAACTAAGGCTACAGAGGACTGAGAAGTACAGCATATGAGCAGACAATGTAATAAACAGGCTTAGTAGATAGAAATACAAAATCAAATCTATTTTTTCAGGAAATTAAAGGCATTAGAGTCAGAAAAAACACCTGGTCCATTAAAATCATTATAGAGTCCTTATAAACCATTATTCAGTCATGGTCTACTTTGGGTCAGTAGTAATTTTTCAGTTGTTGGACGAAAACAGAGGTCTACATCAGGCTCAAACCATTCCGAACGCAACCAAGTTGGAAAATGTTTCATTAGATTGTTAGGAAAAATAATTTGTATAAAAGAAAATTAATATATTGGTTATCAAATTAAGAGGAATATCATGCTTAATACTTGTGGTCATTAGGGATGTAACAATAACCGAAATATCGTGATACCGTATCGTCAAAGTTCTCACAATAATATCGTGGACCATCACAATATATTGAATTACAAGTCTCTTTGCTTAAATTAAGAGTTATGGTGCAGCAACAGCTAAAAAAAATAAAAAGACAGAGGGAACTACATAGACCATGATCCTTTGGTCCATTTCAGTGTAGACTACAAGATGAAATAACAGTTCTAAGCACTTTTAAGGCATTTTAAGAGGAAAAATATACACAGTTTTGTTTGCCTCCACAAAATATCACAATAAATACCAAACAGTGAGATGTATATCATGATAATATTGTAATGAGAGATTTGGATATTGTTACATTCCTAATCGTGAGCCTCCCCACCATATCGTGAGCTTTCCCACGATATCATAATAAATATCGTGCAGTGAGGTTCAAACTGTGACGATGTCATATCATGAGACTTGTACATCATTATACCCCTAATGGTCACACAGTACATATACTTGTACATAATATATATATATATATATATATATATATATATATATATATATATATATATATATATATATATATATATATATATATATATATATATATATATATATATAGTATATATAGTATATAGTATATATAATAGTTTTTCAGTTGGATTTTTTGTAGTCAAGTTGACTGGGGCAGTGTCAGATTTGGATCAAGAAGCCAGAGACCCCCCGTTGTTCATTTAATTAAAGTCACCCCCTGATCCGTCTCAACAACTGAACCAGAGCTGAAAACCTGATGTCACGGGTCAAATGACAGGAAGTAGTTTGTGAGGAGGGTCACTGTCGATCGCCGTCTGTTACTGATGATTCCAGTTTGATTTCTGGTTTCCCAATTTTTTTTTTCACAGTAATGTAAGGAAACATGTTTGTTGACTGACTAGATGGCAAAACGACTAGTACTTGAAATATTAGCATTTGTTGTCGTAGTAGAGCTAGTCAAAACTTATCTACTCATTTTGTATAAAGTACTTTTTCAACAGATAAGGAGTACACCTATCTGACCATCTGTTTCCATAAATATTCTAACATTCTACTGAACATAGAGTCTTTGCATTTTGTTTTAAGTGAACCTTTTCCATTTCCATTTTCCAAACCACAAATTTACTGACATGTTCAGACTCACTGCTTGCTGCTAGTTTGAATACCAGTCAAGTCAAATGTATTCAAATGCACAAATATCAGATTTTCCAGCTCAACGGCCCCTCGCTGGCTATCCATGAGTTTTGGAAGCGAGGAAAATGTATACACTGTTGCCAAAGCAATTAACAATTCAAAACCAACTGCTCCTTCATTTGAACGGTGAGGTGAGTCCTTAAAAAATGGCATCTATAAATAGGAAATTTAAACACATGAAAACAGCAAATATCCTTGACTTTAGACGTATAGATTTAACAGCATTGACTTAACTTGTGTAATTCCCACCAATAAGACTGGCTCCAGATGGCCACACCACTAGAGGATTAAGATCAATTTATTAAGCATGTTGAAATAATCTGCCTTTGACTGACAGTTCAACCATTTTACAGGAATGTGTCTCATTACTGTGGGCTTAAACACCAGCACTTAAGGCAACAAATAAATGGATGTTTGGTATTTTTTAGCACATTTTTAAACAGTGCAACACGTGAGTTAAAGCAGACACAAGACCTGTCAATCAAAATGGTTGTTGTGGTTGTTTCTAGGTCACCGTGTCTCCAACTTATCATTTAAACTTGACAGCGGAGTATCTTTCTCTCGACCCTGTAAAGATGAATGCTCAGGTATTTGGCCTCTAAACCCCGAGAGCTCTCAAGGGTAAGTTGACGTCTCATTTAGGACTCCATCAAAAAAGACAGACTGCAAGAGTTAAGAATCCATTTGCAAAATCTGTTAACCATTTTATTTTATTTTTCAAACAACAATATTTTCTTCTGTTAGTAGTGAAAGCAAAGTAGATTTGAACAAGTATGATGTAAATTGATATGTATTGAAGTTCAATATTAAATTCAATTGTAATCAAAAGTTACAAGTCTCAAGTCGTCATCAAATATCAATTTAAAATTTTCTATTTTGGGTAACAAATTTATGCCAGATATCCTACCTGACACACCGCTTTAGAGATATAAAAGATATCTTGGCAGTTAACTTAGCAGATCACAATAAGATTTAGGGATATAACAATAACCAAAATATCGTGATATTGTATCGTCAAAGTTCTCTCAATAATATCGTGGACCATCACAATATATCGAATTACAAGTCTCTTTGCTTAAATTAAGAGTTATGGTGCAGCAATAGCTAAAAAAAGACAGAGGGAACTACATAGACCATGATCCTTTGCTCCATTTAAGTGCAGACTACATAAAGAAATAACAGTTCTAAGCACTTTTAAGTCTTAATTCTTTGGATTAAGTCATGTCAAGGCATTTCAAGAGGAAAAAGTAGCATATTAACAGTTTTAGCTGTTTAGCCTCCACAAAATATCTCAATAAATATCATACTGTGAGATGTATATCGTGAAAATATCGTACAGAGAGATTTGGATATTGTTACATCCCTTAATCGCGAGCCTCCCCACCCTGGCGTGAGCTTTCCCACAATATCGCAATAAATATTGTACTGTGAGGTTCATCCCGTGACAATATCATATCGTGAGACTTGGATATCACCCCTAATAAGATTTCATTTCCATATCTCCCTATCCTAAGTACACACTATTGCAAGCAGTGTACTTCAAATTCTGTCTTGTCACACAGCAAAATAAGGTCAACACAGTACAGACAGTGAGCCGCAAAGAAGAGTAAAAGTGCCATGTCAGGACTTTGACTGGAAACTGAAGCCCAGATCCTGCTTTTGTCAGAGAGGAGTGTGACCCAGGACTGGCACACCGCTCCTCCCGTCATTATGAATGGGACGGGACCAGACCAGGCCTAATTGACGGCTGCTGGGGCTTTGTTTGGTCTCTGGCTGCCTCTGAACTAACACAAGCTAACATGGGCTAATGCTGCTGAGTGGACAGATGGCGGCGCGGCAAAGAAAGACCACCAGGCTCTGGGTTTATGATCCCAGGTCCTCTCTGACTAGAATAGAACTAGAAATGTGAAAGATTATCTGTTGTCAATGAAAACAAATTTGACAAAATATATACTTGGACCCATTTTGAATAGGGCGATCAGATTTTCAAAATTAAAAACTGGGACACCTGGTTGGGATGTTTGGTATAAGTAAAATTGTGAAAAGGAGGCGCAACATTTTCCATTCTCCTCTCTTGGCAGGTATCAACTGGACCAAAATGGGGATACCTGGGACATTTCTTGTATAAAACTGGGACAATTCACTGGTTTTGGATAAATCTGCTGGGACAGGGAACACAGGGTTCAAAACTGTCCCAGGTAAATAGGACAGGACAATTATATTTTTTGTCTATTTTCTGAGACTTACTTGAGTCTTACAGTTTATCAATAGGCCTACAGCAGTTTGTTTTTGATGGTAATGTTTGGCTGTGAACTAAGATGACAATGAAGGATCATCATCAAGTACAGTATAACTCTTTTTACTAATGTTAAAATCGACCAACACACTAAACCAGGACCAAAAAAAGACATATTACAGATGTAAGAATAGCATGGCTTTTTAAATCACAACCTTATCTTCTGTTTTGGATTGAAAGAAACAAAATGATAAATCTTGTAATACAGATGTTGCATCAATTGACATTACAAAGGCAATCATTTTGTAATATTTGTGACCAGGGACATGACTCACTGTCCATCTGTAGAGGGCTGTACTGTATCTGCAGCTCACAGAGGACTCATAAAACTAGACAATCACTCTTGAGGCTCTGACCCTTCTCTCTTTGTCACGGTGAAAGGAGGTTTTACAGAAAGGACAACGAGATGGGGCCAATCTCAGCCTATTTTCCTTCTTGAGTAGCTAAAGGGATAAACAGAAACCTTTCAACCAAATACAAGTTAAAATATGTTATATGTTATCAAATATTTAGGGATAAATCTGCCAAATTTGCCGTCAGAGGGCAACCATGTGCAGTAATGTAAGCGAAAGAAAAGAGAAAGAAAAAACAAACGAGTATAAAAAAATAAAAAATAAAAAATAAAAGATGCTGTGGCAACTCTTGCATCCTAAAGTCTATATTATCTATATTATCTATATTATCTATATTATTATTAACACATTACCAAATTTTTTTAAATAAGTTCTTGGGCTTACAAGCAGTTTTATTTTATCTCCACAACAAGCCACAGCTCTGCATATGATCTGCTTTAAATGTGCCATTTTAAATGAGAAAAAGTGCCACACTGCATTGCATTAGACAAAACACATGTATGAAAAGTACCCACATGTGTGGACTGAGCTCATAGAAGTTCCTGTTCCTGTACTCCTCCACTTTGTCTGGCGTGAAGATGGGCAGTGACCTGTACGGGTTTATGGAGATCACCACACTGCCGATGTATGTCTGTAGAAACAAAACAAAAACAAATAATTAGAAAATGAAATCATACATTTTTAAACTGACTGCATTTTTCCCATAGCATAAATTTTTGGTTATTGCTTGAATTTCTCCGTGTGTCAGCAATACTTAGCGGGTTATATGGTTCATGTATTGTTGAGACCTGCACTGCCTGAAGGAACATACTTAAATAAAAAAATAATACAACAGGAGCCAGACTGGAGACAGAGAGGTCATGTTGTTAGAGGCACATTCTTACTGCTATAAGTGTCCAGTCCAGAAACAATAATACAAAAAGAGTAGACAAATGACATTTTGGGAGATTTTTTTCTTACATCTTATTTGTGGAAAAGATGTAGGATTTCCAATTAGATTTCTCTAAACTTGGCCATGTCCTAATATCCTATACCCTTATATAAATAAACACAGTTGTTTGTCATTGTGGAGTAGAATGGTATGTTGTCATCATACAGTATAGCCGTTATATTAATAGACAAGAGCATCACCAGTGAAAAGTCCCTCCTATGTCCATAAACAAAGTATTTATGTGGGAAAATAAAGGAAGAAGCTGTGTTTACATGTGGGACATTCACTACATTGTTCTGGACTGGATGAGATAAAGGGAATTTCCAAACCATCAGGATTGGCTTTGAATCATCTTCAACAGAAAGAACAGAAGTCTGTATGTAACATGTAATGTGTTTAACATAAAAGAAAAAAAAGTAGTTTTTAACATGTTTCTGGGCAGAATGTAGAATATGTGCTAATAGCTAAATGACAATTGGACAATTCAAAAGACAATTCAAATGTTCTATATACACTGTGACCATCCAGTCATAATTTGGAGTGACACATATAGCAATCTGGTGTGAGCCAGGTTTGTGAGGTGACGTTCATTCTGGATAGAGTTCTACACATCATGACAATTCTTTGAATCTGATTGGTCAAAGCGTCACAACAGCAGAACAAGTCGAAAAATCAAACCTTTGTTGCATCCAGTTCAGAGAAAAGCATCTGCCCTGTCCAAAAAGGCACAAAACTCAATGCTGCTGATTGGTCCACCTACCCAATCAACCTTACAGCAGGCACATGCCAAGATGGATTCTTGTGAGTTTGTGAACTCCCAAATATCACGAGAAACCATCTTGCTGTGAAAGGGTAATCTCACTCACCCTTACATGACCCCTAACAGAAATATCAACAACACATATTTGTCAATAGTCAAGTAATTTCCCTTGTGGGCAGAAAGATGTCTCTAAATCTAAGTCCACTGAATGCAAGAGTTACAAAGAATTATTGAGAATATTGAAAAATGTATACTTATTTCACTGAAATACTGTAAATCACATAGGACAAAACTGAACTTGAAAGAGGTTTATGAATGGTCTTGATAACACTGGTGTTTAAAATGATCTTAATTAATCAATTAAATGTGTTCTCTTCATTTTGATTGTGGTATCAAAAACTGTATCAAGCCATCTCCCAAAAAGAAATCAAGAATTTAGTATTGTAACATCAATACTATACATTTTGTCTGTATTTTCAACCATTTCACACTAGTGTTAGTATATGCATATTCACCCAGTATCTTATATAACATTCCTATACACGTTGCTGATCACATTGTCCAACTCAGCAGCCTCCTCTTGTCAGGTGTATATCTGCAGGGGACAGTCATCATCCTCCCACTCCACACACTGAACCTCACAGCACTTTACAGACACACAGGCCGTTCGATCGCCTCTAATGCTCGTTGCATAAGACACTTTGACGATATCGGATCACGGCCTTCTCTGTGGCGCTTCCTCTGCCTCCCACAGACTCCCAGCATTCAGCGGGGCCGACATTTAAAGTGAAACTCCAGAGAATGGGGGTTGTGCAGGATAAATAAACGCAGGTTAACCAAAAGGACAAAGTAAGAAAGGAAAGTACACAGGGTACGCAGGCCATTGTTGTTGAAGTTTACAATGATAAGCAAATTAGCAGATGATTTATGCAAATAGAAACTGAAGATTAAATTGTGGGTATATTTGCAATAGAAAAAGAAGAAATTTGTAAATCATGACTTGACATTAGCTGCAAAGTATCAATAGCATAGTCTGAAGTGTACTGTGGGGCTCTCTCAAATGTACATCATCTTTGAGAAGGACAGGTAATGACACTAGTTAATAGGGGCATTATTTTTGCTATATTTTAACCACAGTTGATGTACTGTCCTTCTGCTAAACAAAGCCATGTGTCTTCAGTGCTAAGTTGTCATGTGATAGTTTAGGATGGAGGGTGAAGGGGGGCAAGGGGAGGTAAGAGGGGGTATAAGTTACCCGCAGGGGATGATGCCACATGAGGGAAAGTACATTCACACCACAGACAAGTACACCACAGATTTATTGGATAAGTGTAGGGTTCTTTACTCGTTAATAGTCCGCAGTCTGAGGAAATGGTTACTGAAATAGGCTTTTTAGCATAAAGCAGCCCCTGAGATCATCTCATTGTTTTAGACGCATTTGATCATTGCAAATCACCACTTTAAAAGAAACCCACTATTACCATGTTTTGTCTTGTAAAGTGGGGCTAAATGTTTAATCACAATTGAAGCTAAATTTGCAATGATTTAAATAATATATAAACACACCCTAAACTCAAACAGAATATCCAGTCTCCATGAGGTTCCATAATTTTTCTCATAGATTCCGAGAAGACTATGGTGGCACAAATAATGTCCTTGAATCTCTTTTTTTTTTTATTATCATTTTGTCCATATAGTTACATTTAAATGCTTATGATAATACAACAACAACAAAAAGTGTGTTTCTGTGATGCCAATATAGTCCATCTTGTTTTGAGACTGTGGGAAGTATTTTAGACTAAATGGAGCCAACTGGATTACACTTGTCTTAACTCATTTTAGTGTCCTAAGATGTTAACACTACTCATTGCCAATTTTGGTTTTAGCCAGTGGTATTTGTAAGACATTGCAAACGCACTTCTATAACACAAATATGTCTGACCCATTTAGCGAGGTATTTAAAATTGATTAAGCGCATATGTTATGTAGCATATAGTCAATTTATGATAAATATTTCCAGAAGTGTGAAGTCAACTGGGGCTAATGCACTCAAATGGGCTGTACCAGGAACATCTACATAAATAAACCAAAGTTCTTCTGATGTAGAAAACATATTTAGCGGAGTGACACACAGCCTCAGCTTAGACCAATAATCAGTGAAGTTTTAAACAAATGGCTCCTGGTAGTGGGCAACCACAGCCTGGAAAACGCTTCAGAAAAAGACAAGTCAGCTATTCTCAGCTTTTGGAAATAAATTGAATTAACCAAAGCTGGAAACTTTGTTCATAATATTTTGAAGAACAGTACACAAGTCATTTTAGGTCAGGCTACCATATGTGGAACATCAGTGACTTCAAACATGTCAGACAAGGCAAGAACTAGGGCATCCAAAATAAAGTATAATCTTTAGTTTAATTATCTAAACAAGGGAAATGGACTTAACCAGGACTTAACTAGGTTTCATTGGAGACAAATCAATGTTTAAACCTTGTCCAAACAAAAAAAAAAACTATATCTAGGTCAGAACTGAAAATGGAAATCCAGATATCTAGGTCTAAACCAGGTCCAAACCAGGTCCATTATTGATTGGTACTAAACCAGCTTTATTATGGTACTAACCAAGCCGAACTTCTGGAACTTTATGGGTTATGGAGTGGTGAAAAAAACAAAACAAAATATTCCATCTTTTGAATGGCAAAAAGTCTTCAAAAAGGCATCCACAACAGAAAACAAATCATAAGGCTGAAACTATACCTAAAATGTCACCAATAACACCTTCCACCAACATCTGAAAACCTCTCTCAAACAAAGAGAGTATTCTTCCCGAGTCCTTTTCAGCCACAGTCAGGCAGCTGTTGGAGTTTAACTTTACATTTAGGTCAGAGCTTATGGAAAGTGAGGCCATGCGAAATGAGAAAAACCTATTCCAACATCTCAGCAGGAAGTGGCTCCATCTAAAGTGAATGTCAAAAACATGTTTCTATGGCGATGGTGGCTATGTGAGATGACATCACCCTCTCGGCTCTGATCCCGGTGAGCCAAACCAGGACTGTAATCATCTCGGCTCTAGACCTGCCGAGCAACGCCAATTGTGGGGTGTCACAGTCTATAAAGGCCTCATCCATACTGTGGGCTTTTGAAATTTTACTAAGTTCAATTGTGAATCATAAAACATACTTTGATATTACTGGAATGTTCAAGAGAATGTGCATAATGCAACTTTTTAGATGTGTGTTTCCATGGAAATGTTGCTTTGCATGGAATGTTCCAGTATGGTATTTAACTTATCCATCAGTTGCATAATTTAAATACTTTGAAAGATATGCATTCTTACAAGGTGGCCTCTCCACAGATCTGACTCGTAATTTGGTCGTGGCCTGGTCGTGCAACCTGCTTGTCTCCAGGGGGGCAGAGAGGTTTAATGGAGGCTAAGCAATATTCTCACCATGGAGACAAGCAACTGGAGGTCACACCATCAGAACATTTTTATAGCAAACCTTTAAAAAAGCATATTAATTTTTATTTCCTAGCCAAATTAAGACAAAAGCAAAGTAAGCAAGATGTTTTGCTGATATCAACAACATGGTTTTTGCCACACATTCAGTTAGCACTAGTTCTGTTCCTTGATCGCAGGGCAGTGGATTTCATGGTTGGTTAAAAAGGCATCATCTACATTCCAGAGCAATGTGATTTATTGATTGTCTGGTTACTGTGGCCTCTGTATCTGTGCCATGTCTGTGGTCAGGACTAAATTACTGAGTGAGAAGAGGAACAATGACAATACGAAAACTATCCCAGATTTCCCCTTGGGAGTCCTCACGCAGGAGGTTGGGGTGAATACTGCTGTGTAAAGACTTGTTCCAGACTAGCACTAACTACATGTTATGGCAGTGGACCATCAAAATAAGTCAACTGCTAAGCTGCAAATGTGAAGGGCATGACACCAAAACACATTCTGGAACTATCAAAACAGGGCTTGAGCACTGTCAACATAAATGTCATTCCTTAAAAGAAAATAACACTAACCACATGGAAGACTTTTAACAAGACATAGTTTGTAACTGTTGACATTATGAAAACCGTATGTTGTTCTATTGTTTCTTTTAAAGTTGTAAAAATCTTGTTACATATTATCTGAACACAGTTGCTTAAGTAAAGTGATATCAGTTAAAGTGTATCACTTGGTTTCAATTTCATGGAAACAATAAATAAAAAGTTTATAAGAAACTTTTTGTTAGAGGCAACATTAAACGCATCTTTATCCACTGTCATTTGCATGGCCAGTTTTGACTTTGACCTTTTGAATGCGGCAACAAAAATAAAACTAGCAAAAGGACCTTTGACATCAGTAGGACCTTACAATGTTACTCACATGGAAGATGCATGAAGATAGGTGTTTTATGCACTAAAAGGCTTTTGTGATCTATCATTTCAGCATGGCCGATGGTCTATTAACTGAGACGTGCCTGGTACAGTTGATCATAGTTAAACATCAGTAAATTATTATCACCTCATTTGGTTCCCTTTCCATGTAAAACGATGTGTGATGTGGCATTGTCAGTATCATTACTTACATAGATTTCGTTGTGGTCGAAGCGTTTCCTCAGGTTGTCTAAAAAGGAGTCCTCAGACAGGGGCTCGAGGAGGACCATGTCCCCGACCCCGATCATGTTGTCCAGAAGTGACGTCTTCACCTCCATGTTGGCTCACTCTGCCCTCTCTGCATCACAAAACACAAAGAAAGGTGGTTTATATTCATTCTTCAATAAAGAAAATATTAACTGCTGGTTATGTAGAAGAGGTTAGATATGGTACCATTTGAGAACCTTAATTAGGGCAAAAACAACAAAACCATGGTTATTTGGGCCATATTTGAAATCACAATTATTTGAAACAAGAATGTAGTGTCAAAAGTTGAACTGGTATGTCTAACCAAACACTGGCTACTAATACTAATGAATTAAATTGAAACTCCATCATCAACACTGTCACCACAAACATGAAATGCAGTAAAGATATGTTGTATTATATCTTAACTGTATGCCTTCTTTTATGCATATTATTGTAACTATTGTGGAAAACAATCAGGAGCAATGGATGTCCACACTGGCGTCCACAATGCAGCACCCCGGGACCCATCTCAGATCTTTAGTTAGGCTTCATCAGGAGTACCTAGGAGTAGAGTAGGATAATGTTGTTGTTTTTTTTGTGCCTGTTTAGGTTGTGCAACCTGTTGCGCATGCCATCACCTTAAGTGCAAAATAAAAGCCCATTATCTATTTGCTCTCAATCATTTGTGAGATCTGCACTTTTGAAGAGTTTTCTGTGATCGGTAAACAAACAGGCCTGAAGTTAGCGGTGTGCAAATAAACTGTGGGGCAGACATGTTTGCTCAGCAGTGCTATGGCTCCAGGGGGAAATCGAGCCCTCTGATTGGCTGCTTTGCTCTCCTCTGGCATTTTCAACAGTCCCAAAGGTGATTACATAACAGTTACCCCCCCGACCCCTGTGTGCTTGCGCTGTGTGAATCGACTAATGTTTAGGAGTGCCTTATAAATCATATCGACGGCAGGAAAAAGAGACACTCAACTGCATGATAGCATGGTTGGCTGGGGTGCTATTCAGCCATGGTTAGAAATAGGTTAAAATAAACTAAATAAATAAAAATAGAATGATCAGATATTATGTTAAAAATTCTAACAGAAGTTAAACAAAACACAAATGAACTGGCAAAAAGGTGAAGTAACAAAAAACGATTCTCACTTTTAGTTTCTTATTAATAACAAGTCAAACTTATTCCTCCAATGTCTGAACTCTGCTACAACAAATCACTTTTACTGGCAGATGATTGGATCTAGATGCCTAGATTAAAAAGACCCAAGCTGGTTATTGAAGATTTGAAACTATTCCATTTCAATTCAACTCAAATTTGATTCAGTGCAACCCTAAAAGCAAATCCATCCACAAAAACGTAGTAGAAAGTAGTAGCAGTAGTTAGAAGCTTTCAGACGCACATTTTACATAAAGAGTGTGCCAGGCAAAAAAGTCCCATCTGAGCATTTGGCAATTATTAAGCTACATTATGTTTTTTTTTTTGGTTTTTTTTTTACATTTACATTTAATCAGTATGAACGTTTTCGAAATCGTGACAGTAATACAGGCTGGTGGTTGTGATGGTGGACAGAGACAAAGCCCTTGCTGTCAGTGGCAGTTTTCAGAGCAGTCTCCTGTGGCCTTTCGGTCAGTAATCCCGAAGCTTTGGGCCTGAGATAAAAGAGAGGACTAAAGCTCATTCAGAGAGGGGATGCAGGGCTTTGCTGTACCAAACATGTCTGCTACTACTGCTGCTGCTCCTGCTGCTCGGACAGTCCAAACCAGGCCAGATCAATCAAAAAAGTAGTATCATGAAAGAGATGAAACAAGGCTGTGCAATGATTTTAGTTTTAATAGAAATCCAGTTGTTTCAAATCATCTTGTTCACACACACACACACACACACCAAAATCTGATTATTTGATTAGTTTGATTTCTGGGCCTTTTTGATTACTTGAGGCAAAATCTGACGCAAGTAATCAAAGAGACCATGATCAGAAAGAAATAACTCCAAAAAGTTGCTATAAATCAGATTTTGAGTGTGAATGTAAGCACAGCCAGTGATACTCTTGAGTCTTTTTAATCAACAGGTCTGCACTCAGACATCAAATATATGTCTGGAGTTCAGACTGGAGGAATAAATTGGACTGTATGTTTTTATTTATTTTTATTTTTTTCCCAGTGGCACTGATTCAAAATGTGTCTTGTTTATTTTCATAAAATTAAGCTTAAACACCACTGCTATTTTTAATACGAAAACAATAAAATCTATAATCATGTTCTATATGTAAAAATCAAAACAACATATTGCCATATTGCCAAGCCCTATTAAAACCACATGAGTTTAAACTTATGGTCCGGATGCAGTTACCATAAATCTGCTACAGTAACTCACAACATCTGCTACTTTAAAGCAATAAAATTTAAACTAATATTTGTGATACACCCATAAACAGAACTGAAACCTTTCATACAACTTCTATTGATAGTGGGCACTGCAAGTTAATTCATCATGTGATCTGAAACATGACATATTATGACCACATGATTTCAATAAGGGAACCCTGTTTGAACGCCAAGTCAATAACGCTCCAATCAGCTTTTAGGAGTAATTTGGGAACAGCATGGTCCCTTGGAAGAAAGATACCCCACTATGAAGTGTAGTTCACAAGTTCTTCGAGAAACTCAGTGTTCCTGCAGGGTACAGTGTTATAAGGCCATAAAAAAGTTGCCTGGCTAAGACGCTAACAGCACTAATGAAAGCAAGCTTGTTTGAAAAGGTAGTGTGGGACAGATGGACGAAATGATTAATGTTAGTTGCAATCCAAGTGCACTGAGGAGTCGGTAGTGTTGTAAAGTTGCCAGCGCACTAATTTGGTCTCAGAGGACTCCAAACAAGAGGAAGATATTTGGACACAAGACTTAGTCCATATAACTATACAACAACTCACCCTTATGTAATGGATAATCATATATGTTATGGCAAATCACAAATTCACCTGTACATATCCTTACTACAGCACTTCTTGTATGCAAAAATATCCAAACTGCTAAATCTCGTGATACTAAATTTGGAAATTTGGTGATACAGAATTGTTAATGCTGTATCACCATGAGTATTTCTTGGTATCTTTTACTAAACAATTTTGAGATTGTGCCACTTGTTTAATAGAAGGGAACTTATTTATGCAATACATTTTACTACGGAAGCACCAGTCTATCTTTTTTAGATATTGAAAATACAGCTTTTAGTATCTGCCAGTATCCAATATTAATCGTAGGAGCTGATTTTATTCATTTTTTTCTCTCAAGACATAATTAACAAATTTGATTGATTTATGTTATGTAACAATTTATCCTGCAAATAATTACTGAGGAGCTTTGAAGGAATTAAAGTTCAATCACTATGAGACATCCTCATCCAATCACAGGCCCGACCAGGATATCGACTGAACCGATATCATGGAATCAATACTCAATCTAGCCAATTTTTCTGGATCGGCGCATCCCCTACATTTGACATGTTCATGACATGTTTTGATGAAAAATGGGTGTATTCGTAATAACAAAGTGAAAATAGTGGTTTAACAAAGAACTATTGTTGTTAAAATGTATCTGGCTATTTAAAAATACTGACATACTGCACAGTGTAAATAGAAATGATTGCATGTATTGTCATATTGTATTGTGAGCCATGTATACAGTATCATATCAAATCATCAGGGACTTTAATTTTGTATTCTACTATAGTATTATTAATATTACTGTGATTTATATATTTTGTATTTTGTTTTATGATATACTTGTGTGTCCGAGTAAGTCCCCTTGTAGATTGATTTAGTTTGTCCAAGTTTAAATTCGTTAAGCCATAGTTCTCCAACAAAAATAGTGGCTTAAAATAACACAAAGCCAAAACATAACAGCTGCTTATGTTGTCTGGTATGCCGCTTTAAATCAAGTTTGTTCCCTCTAAATGTCATCTGTGCATCTCTAGAGGAATGAATAGACTTCGCTCCCATCCCATTACATAGAATATCATCTCTGTGTAATGGTCTTTAACTAAAATGGATGTCTTTCTTTGTGACACTGCTGGGCATTACATGAATCCTGCTGCTTAAGACAGATTGTTCAAAGGGACATTTGCCTGATGCTGGATAAACTGGATGTGAGTTGTGGTAATAAATGTATAGCAGAGTTCATTTTAGGATTGCGGATGTTCAAAAAGCAGGGGATTTGTTACATGCAACACCAGGGTAATGTTGTTACAAAACTATAATTTCAGGCTCGATACACAATAAAGATGTTGATACCACACGCATTTTTTAGGCAATAGTAGTAATATTCAACACAATATAAAAGTAGCTCCTTTAGAATTACTAGAATTACTACACATTCTATAATACATTTGTGCTTTATTTCAGTTTTGACTTGTTTAAACGAGTAACTACTTTCAATACTAATGTTTGTATTGATTTAGTATCCTGGTTCAATATGACAATTAGGGATACACTGATCTAAGAGTGGTATCGGATATTGGCATCAAGACTACAAAAAATTGCTGGATCGGATATCGGCTTCCAAATACTAGTTTGGTCAATATCCTGGGCATATAATTTGATGTAATAAAAGGCTATACAAAGATGTTTTGCAATTACTTAGCGATAAATAATCATTTTATCTGTTTAATCAGTTTTATTTTAGTTGATATGGGTTGATATTGAGCAGATAGTTAGATTACTTAGCTACAGTATCGGAATCAGTATCGGTAGAAGCTGCATCAGTGTATCCCTAATGACAATTGCGAGACAGGGACAGTTCGGATGGAGGGGTGGGGGATATTTGCTTCATCTGAATTCACTTTACACTTCAACTGATAACAACTTTGTAATTTATGCATCATCTGGTGTAAACTTTTACATGATAAAAGTTAATGCGTTATCCTCCTCTGATCTGTTTCTGTTGGCTGCTTTGTTATCTTGACTCATTCATGAAACCACTTGGATCATTACTTACTTTGGCAGGTCAGATGTTTTGTGGGAGTACGCGTTCACTCCCCAAAGCTACTGTAGGCTAATCTGCTGCTATGGAGTGAATTACAGAAGGGGCTGTCTCTAGCACTTGGCATAAACAAACACTCAGAACTGTGCCTCCCTGTGCGAGAGGGATCACATGTTCAGGACTCTTACAGCCTATGGGGCAACACTGCAATGAAGCTTCAATACACTGAGAATAACTTACATTTTTCTCTAAAGGCCTTACTGGAATTCAAGGCAAGATTTTACAATGTTGCATCATAGTTCAGCTGCAGATTGCACCTATACTTAGTATTCAGTTTAATGTGCACATTTTAAACTAAACATCATCAAAAAGACTGAACTATACTATGTAGAATCATGCATTTCAGAACATGTTAGGGGGCTATACCTGCCATACATGCCAGAGATTTGAGACTACATTTATTCGACGTGTAGTTTCAGATATTATCACTGCTGTTTCCATTAGAGATCGACCAAGACTTTTTCATGGCCAGTGCCAGTACTGATTGTACAGATTAGGGGTGTGCAAAAATATTGAAATATTGATATATCATATTGTTTAATGTGAGGATACAGCATCAGTATCATGGGCTGCTGTAGCAATGTAGGGCAAGAGTATTTTTTTCTTATATTTTACTAAATTATTTTGTTACAGCCCTACAGTTTTGTTGCTTGTTCAGAGGAAGGAAACTTGTTTATGAGACACATTTGACATTTTCACTGTTTTGATTATTAAAATGGGCATGTTTCATATTAACTTTGCACAAGAAGTGGTTTAACAAAGACATTTAGTATTACAGCCATGATTTTTTACTGAACTGTATCAAATCAATTTTAAACATATCGTATCGAATTGGAAGTGCACTGTATCGTCATATGTATCGTATCGTGGCCTATGTATCGAGGTATGTATGGTATTGGCAACTTCTTAATGATAACCAGCCCTAGTACCAATGCCAAATAAGCTCTGCCGATATTTTTGAGCAGATATGTGGGGCAGATTTTGATTAATTTAAATTTACTACAAACTCACCCTCAACCCTTTTGGTTTTACCACAAACGAAAGTGTGTGTATTCTTTATGCATCTGGGTAATAAGTCCAAATATTGGCCTGATATATCAACTAATATATCGATCCATCTCCAATTTGTATAGTGACAAGGGTTTGAAAAAGGAGAAATCCAAACATGATTTTTATTTTACACTAGTTCCCATCCAAGAAAAAGCTGTTAGTTAAAATTTTGTTGCAATTTATTGCAGTAATCTTTCTGAGGTAAATACATACCATAATCCATGTTATAATATCCAACACATGTAATCAAATATTGCATGCATTTTCTCATATATATTGTCTTTTTTTCTACCGCTGTGATAACCTACTAGCCCAGATTTTCTCCGGGTTCCATGCAGCGCCACGCAGCGAATGACACAATCCCATTAGTGAAGTGTTGCCGCCTGCCGTTAACTGTTGTACGGCATCCAAGAGAAGAAAATGAGAAAAAGACCGAAAACCTGACAGCGTTGATTAAACTCTACAGATTATCCTCACTGAGTGGAAAATAAACCAGGCCGCTATTGAGATATTGACCGCGGTTGCAGTTTTTGCCACTTCTTATAATGAAAATATGAATTTGATCAAAATGACAGGCCGTATATGGATTGACAGTAGATTAAACCGGCCCAGCTTTATCAATCTCTCTGATGCGTTTTACATCTGATGAAATCCCGCCGGTGGTCATTACCCACGAGGCTTAGCAGCCATTAATCTCACGTCAGAATCGCACAAATCGCCAATGTTTCAAAACCTCAGTCCGATGCCCTTAGCGGGATGTGTGTCACCTCGCAGAGTGCACCGTCAGGACAGAGACTGGGAGATAAAGATGAGTTAGGGATTTAAAAGTACTGAAAATACAACGCAAACATACAGCAGTAGATTAAAAGTTCTACCTTACAATAAGTAACCATAGTCTTGCCGTCCTGTGACTATTATTGATTAAACTGATAAGTACAGCTCTTTCTGATGCATGCTACATTTATTCAGGCTTGCTGCAATAACCAGTGTTTCCTACAATAAAAGATGTGCTACATAAGTTTCCTTTTACACATTTTATTAAGTTGTTAACATGTTAATAATATGTAAGTTTTCTGGTATAAAGACTCCGCATCCTCCTCTACATCGAAAGGTTATTGCATTGCATGGATTTTCCACAGTATGGCATTTTATATCTCCATGGATGCAAGTAGTAACTCCACTATAGGCCAAGTTACAGGACAGATCTTTGGAGAGGCAAGCCTGCTCATAGTAAAAATGCAGTAAAAATGTAATGCCTTACTACAGAACATTTCATGCAAAGCAATAGCATCTCCATGGAGGTCAAGCACGTGGTTCCTTCCCAAAAAGTTACATAAAGTGACCCTAAAGTGACCTTATCTAATTAATTATAGTAAAATTAAAGGAGTGTTGAAAAACTATAAACAATGGCAGAAACGTTATAAAATATTTTTGTACCAATATTTTGTTTGTTGATCTATTAGTCTATTACGGCACAATAAAATGAAGTCAAAATAGGGGCATGTCAAATTGAGCCTTACAGTTTCCATCCCTACAAAATCATACCTACACCCTTTTGTAATGTAAAGCCTATTAGAGCATAGAGACTGACAGAAAAAAAATTGTTTTGCGACCTAATACTGAACCTTATATTTGCATAAGAGGATATGGATTTATGATTTGTGAAATGTCTGGTACAAACAACAAATATGAGATGAGCTATTTTAGTCATCCAAATCAGCATTTTAGATTTGTCTGAAAATCCCTTGTTGGCTCACCTCCGCCTTATCTCTATCCTCCTTGGCAAACGCTGTAGGCGCCAGGCACGTGCTGGTAAGATCAAATGGAGCTTGCCCCCAATGTTAGAAAATAGGAGATTCTGGGTCACCGTTTTGATCCTACACATAGAAAATACATCACAAGTCACCAAATCAAATACTGTGTAAGACTTTTTCCATCTATAATTCCTATAGATTAGAAGACTGTCATCTCAAAAAGGGACATATGGATTTTATTATTTATTTTTTAATATAAGGAGTGGGCTGGGCTTACGGTAATGTCGGCGAACAGTATTACCGGACGTGCTAAGTCGCCTGTATCTTTCTGACCTAGATTGAGACGATGGTGAACAAGAACCATATGGAAAGGGGGAAAAAATGCCATTAAAAGCAAATTAATTATTTAAAGATTAAGACAGCATGATGCACATTTGTCCTTTGGCTCAAGTCTCCGCCACAAAGGTCATTGGCCCTCATGCAAGAAGTGACTGTAATCAGAGTAACCAGATTAAAATGTAAACAATCTCCAAACAACGAAAAAGCTATAGGAGGAATATAAACGGCTTAATCCAACCCAGGACCAACCAAGACTAAAACCAGGACAAAGAATGGGAATAAACTAGGGGTGAACTAGGACTGAACCTGGACAAAAACCATGATTAAACCAGGGCTAAACCAGGGCTAAACTAGGGCTAAACTAGGGCTAAACTAGGACTAAACCAGGGCTAAACCAGGGCTAAACCAGGACTAAACCAGGACTAAACCAGGACTAAACCAGGACTAAACCAGGGCTAAACCAGGGCTAAACCAGGGCTAAACTAGGGCTAAATCAGGACTAAACCAGGACTAAACCAGGACTAAACCAGGACTGAACCAAGGCTAAACCAGAACTAAACCAGGCCTATAACTAGACCAGTATGGACCTAGAACTAAACCAGGGCTAAACCAGGATTAAACCAGGTCTAAACCAGGACTAAACCAGGACTAAACCAGGGCGAAACCAGGACTAAAACAGGATAAGAACAGGTCCAAACCAACTCTGCATCAGCCTAAACTAGGCTCATAGCAGTAGCAAACAAGGACAAGGATATTAACACACCCCATGTCTAGTTTTCTAAATCAGTGTAATTGCGGTACATTATTGTCCATTACATCAGAGAATGACAGCAACAGTCAATGTTGCAGCTCGAACATTACAACTTAAGTAAGAAAACAACCTCCGGCCCTTATATTTACCTTCAGTTTAGATGTTGACTGTGGCTCACTTCAGTGCTGTGAGTTTGAACTGCTCTTAACCCTGTCCTCTCTGCCCTCTGCCCCGCACTGTTCACTGCTGCTCCATTAAGGACCTCTAATCTTCAATCCCTTCTCTCTCTCTCTCTCCAAGTCTGAGATACTGCTCGCCCATCTCCTGTCTCCCTCTATGGGGACTTCACACACAATTACGCAGCATAATGCATCTAATATTATCATTTGTTTGCACAGACATTCATGCAAACAAACCCTCCCAAGGTAAAATGACGCCACAGTATTTTACACAATGGGCTGTCTCATGGACTACATTATAGCAATTGCCTGGGAAGGTTGCATTGTCATTGACAGCAAGAAGCTAGTTAGCACCACTTGAATAACAAATATCTTAGTGTATTGGGCATTGTTTTTGGACCACATGAGTATTTGCTCTAGGGCCGGGCTATTAATCAAATTTTAATCGAGTCAAGAGTCATATATCAGTCATATTTCAGTGTCAGTGTCTGGTTTCTCAGCCAATTCTGTCATTAAAAGCATGTGTTTGGAGTAGAGTGTGGACAATGGAGGAATAAATTGGGTTCCGTTTGTGAAAAGAAAAGTAAAAAAATAATAGATTTTATAAAGTCTATTCTATTTGTGTGTGCGTGTGTGTGTAGGTTTAATAGATAAATAGTTTTTAAAAAATCGCATTATATTTCACAACACACATGCCTTTGGAAACAGCTTTTAAATCCCAGTTTATACTGCCATGGTGCCCTTGAGCACGACACTTCACCCACCTTGCTTTATTGTGAATCTAATGTGAGTGATTGCTGGTTCTTGGTGCAGAATAGCAGCCACATTAATCATGAGGGTTTTGCAAAAATATTGAAATATCAATATATCGTATCATTTAAATTGTTGATACAGTACTGATATCATGGGCTGCTGTATCGATATATGGCAAGGTATTTTTTTGTATATTTTACTAAATTATTTTGTTACAGCGATACAGTTTTGTTGCTTGTTCATTTATGTGACAGATTTGAATTTTCACTGTTTTAATGAATAAAATGTTTGTGTTTCATATTAACTTTGCAAAAGAAATGGTTTAACAAAGACTTTTAGTATCACAGCCAAGATTTAACCTTTACTTTTTATTGAACAGTATCGAATCAATTTGAAATATATCACATTGAATTGAAAGCTATGCATCGTACCGTGGCACATGTATCAAGGTATGTATCGTATCGGTAACTTCTTAATGATACCCAGCCCAGGACAACTGTAGCAACATGCAAAAATAGTACTATATTTGCCTATACTGCACAACCATACTGAACAATTTGGGGGGAAAAGAGAAAAAAAAAAACAAGAATCACATTTCAGTGCATGCATTTTCTTGTTAGCGGAGAAATATGGTACTTAAAACTTGCAGCTTTTGATTTGCCAATTCCATCCATTCAAATTGTGATTTCAGTTCTATTGTGATTAATCTGGCAGCCCTGAGCCAGCTCTAGTGAACACATGCTTAAACAACCTCCTGTACATTTACTTTATAAAACATAGTGTGAATAAAGCCGCGAGCAGTGCATAAATTGGGCCCTGTTGGTAGCTTGCCAGTCCAGTAAAATATAAAACTAGTTCCAAGTCGTTTAGAGCTAATGACGGAGGCAATTATTCCTTGTGGTCATCTGCTCCATTCTCACTCACCCTTTTATTTGCCCAGTGGATTAATTAAACCGGGTCTGCTGCTGAAACCTTTGTCATGTTGATTGCCAGCTGCACAGTCATGTTTCTTAATTTTATGAGCTTCGTTGTAAATACAAGCATTGTCGTAATGTTTAGGCTCATATTTAACCAGGATAAATAGCATTGTTGTTCATGGGAAACCTGAGTGGACTTGCGTGATACAGACCCATGTGTTTGAAATATAGGATTTATGGTAGTTTTGTGTAAAACAGACAAGGCATCAGGTGTTGCTGTTCTACCTCTAATATCCCTTTTACATTATGTAAGCTGTGTATATGGTAGTGTTTGAAGAAGTTGGAGTTAGATAGGATTTATACTGCAAAAGAGTACCTTACAAACCCCGATGTAGTCTTGCAGTATTCATTCATTATTATTTTAGTGATCAGCATCTTTAGTCTTCTGCAATCTTAAGAGAAACAAGCACGGCAATCTGCATTCTGCACCAAGAGCCCCTCTGAACAGAATCAATCACACAATCCCACTGATAAATTAAACATTCAAGGTGGGAGAAGTGTATTGCCAAAGGACATAATGACTGAGTGAACTAGGTAGTGTTGCCTGTGGGATACAAACCACCAACTTCCATGTTAAAGGATGACAAGTTCAACAAGTGAGCTCTAATGGTTTACAAATTGCGTCAGTTTACTAGTGCTTACATTTTTAAGTTTAAGGGATAAAAAGTAAAAAGATTGTTGGAAGTCAGTGCTCGCTCCTTGGGCGCTCCTTGGTAGCCAGGCTGGCACCACCTTGTGCCTCCACTCAGTTTCATTTCTCTCCAGCAACTAGGTCAAGAATCGTAATACACTAGACAGTCTGCAAGAACCCCGGAAGTTGTAGACCGCACACCGGCCAATCAGCGAAGAGCTGTGAAGCCGGCCATAACTAGGACACCACTGTGCGTTCTGGCAGCGATTGGTTTAATAAAAAAAGTACCTGCCTACCGTCGAGCGAACAAATCCTAATGCTGTGTGGTCAGACGAAGTGAAACCGGCTGATGAATCAGGCTAGATCTTTGATTCTCTTTGGTTCTGTGCCATTGGTAACAGCAACAACATTACAGAGGTAATTTCAGTTATAGGAAATAGGTTGCAAGATATCGCAATGAAAACTAAATTGTAAATTGAATGGCCACAATTAGCAAATTTTAAAGACTGCAAAACAAAACAAAATATCTAGTCTTGTATAAATCCTGTTAACCCTGTAGTTCAGACCTTTACAAACATGTTCTAAACTGCATGCAAGTCTTGTATTAGTTTAGCAGTTCACATTTCAGTCTTCTCCAATGCTCCTGTACAAAACAATACCTAAATGCTAGTCTTCAGTGGTGTACATAAACTGATCTCCAGACAGTTTTTCATTAGTTGCTCTTTGAATGGTCTGTGCTATAGCAGTCAAATACAGCACGACTTAAGCCAATGGAGAAAACAGCTGCCTTGGACTTAAAGCAACATTGAACTTAATCAAAATGTGAAGATTTATTACTTGAGCTATACGAAATGTGGAAAGTGTTCGAGTCGGACCGCATTGGGGAAAATCGTAAAACCACAAGCACGAGCTGGTTCAGTTGTAAGAGTATTACTGACAATGTAACAAGTAAGCCCGTAAAACAATATTAAACATAATATGAGAATACAACTAAGGTCGTCGCTATAACAATATGGCAATATTTGGATTCACTGATAATATTCACGTTAGAGATGTGTTCAAACTTACTGGGAGTGGTTCCAGTATCCACAACTTCTATGGTGTGGAAAAAGATGAAATATTTATTGCAGCTCATATTATTTCAATTAAGTATACTTTGAAAACTTTTGTCTTGAAATTAATAATTGGTCAGGTCAATGAAATCATGGTCTCAATATTTCTTGCAGCAGTGTATCTCAGTTCAAATTTGAGTGTGTTATTGTGACAAGCTTGCCTGGAAATCCAGAATGATAATCTATTATCATTTTTTTTATACCGATCAATATCAGTTTGGTCCCCACACCCTCCGCCGAATCTCCAACTTAGCTAAACGTGACTGCACAATCAGATTTGTATTTTCAGTGACGCATGTGAAGCGATGGCGCTCATTGGTCTCCGATGATTT